TTCAAGTGCCTTCTGGAAACTGATTACTCAGGAGCCAACCTGGATGCAAGCAATGAGGAGCACCTGCAAGAGGTTGAGGAGATCAGGAAGGAGTTGGCGGAGGCTTGGTTGACAAAGCGCAAGTCAGCAAACTGGCAGTCCATTTTCCGAGCGCTGAACATGGTAGAGTCCACCTCCGATAACGAGATCAGCAGCAACAAGACAGAGCTTTCCACGCCCAAGCGTGTGAAAAAGGAGTACTTGAAAAGGACACATAAAGTGAAGAAAGAAGCGCACGACTCTGCGCGCACTCCACATCGAAGGACAGGGCCAGTAGAGGTGCTTGATTTGTGCACGCCAGAAGGAAAACCAAATGTGAAGCCGAAGATTGAAGGCTGTCGCCCAGCTCCATCTTTTCCAAAGCCAGAGATGACTTCGGGTGCTTTGATTGCTCCTCCTCAATCTGTTCCACCGAGTCTCCAGACTAAGCACGGCTCAGTGAAAGACGATCGGGAGGCCGCTGGCAATGACCAGATCACTGCTAAGCCGATCACTGTCAAGAAGAGCGAAGCCAAAAAGGAGAAGCAGAGCGAAGCCAAAAAGGAGAAGCAGAGTGAAGCCAAAAAGGAGAAGCAGAGTGAAGCCCAAAAGGAGAAGCAGAGCTGCGCCAAGGTAAAGAAGAACCCGAATTTCAAGGAGGATATCCAAATGTTGCCAGCGTGTTCACAGGATGCCGACATTGAGCCTGAGGTTGTGAAGCACGAATCCATTGAGGATGAGTCTCTCCTTCAAATCGTTCCAGCAAATCAGCGGCGGCGCACTTGCCAAAAGCGTCCCAAGACAGAGCGGGAAGTGCGACTTGGCTTGGTTAGGAAGCTCTTGGCAAGATTTGGAGTTTCTTACGCCAAATGGCAAGCAGCCCACTGGGCTCAGTCTGGATCAAAGAAAGCTGCAGCATGTCCTGATGGCAAGTTTACTGATCTGCAATCAAGCCAGCTGACTGCAGAAACGAGATCCAAGATTGAGTGCCCTGCATGCCGCTCTCTTCTCCGAGAATCAGGCTTTTGGGAACAGGACATTGAGACCTATTTGGAGAATGGACTTCAAGAGGATGCCGAGAATGAGGATGCCAATGAAGACCTGGCAGCAGAAGCACCACCTCCGTGTGATGAGGAAGACAAGCTTGACGAAGATGACGAGGACACGGACATGAAGTTAGATAGACTGGCCCGCAGAGTCAGCGTCTGTTATGAGGCTGGCGAATGTCGAACCATGATTTTATGCAATATATGGACAAGACAAGGGTCAGGCCATGTCTTTTCATAGCCAGCTGGATATTCTCTTTGATTCATATAGTTCCATGTTGTTTGATGTTGTTTGTAGGTTTGGTGTATTGAGCTGTGCTTATACACAGTCAGATGGTCACACCAGGTCATTTTATACTGTAGTTTTGTTGATTTGCTTTGGCAGGTGTTGCCAAGGTCTGAATGGAAGTACTACAAGCAGCAGATTCCAGTCCGTTGCAAGCTCTGCACCAGCAGGAAACAACGGTTTGGCAAGGTCGTGGATATGGTGGCGCCCACACTGAAGGCATCCAAATATTTCTTGCAGCAACACATTGATTCATCCACCCACCAGAGATTTCAAGCTGCAAGAAGACATGCCAGTGTGTCCGCATCCTTGGAGGAAAAGGTGAAAGACGTAGATTGCGAGGGCATCAGCTTGAGCGACGAACAATCATCTCGAGGTCTCAGCCACTATAGTCACCATTTCAGAACCTGGCTGAGTTGGCTTTCGGATTGTCCCGAATTCAAAAAGCACCACTACTGCCTTGTCGATGATGGGACTACCTGGCTGATCAGACATGGAGAGTGTTTGAAACGGTGCCCTCAAGCTCCGCATGGTAGAAGCATTTGCCGCCTGTGCACCTCCATTGTAGAGAATGGCAGTCTGAAGAAGCGTGTTGTCCAGTGTGCCCTCAAGAAGTATGCTGCTGAGCTTCTAAGGACAAGACTCTTCGAGACTTCACAGCAGGTGGCTGACCTTCAAGGGAGAATGCAGGAAGATGTGCTGTGGCACAGGCATCAAGACAGGATGCAGAAGCTCCACACATGGAGAGACTATGAGCTTCAAAGCTGGGTACGTTCTACATTTCTGTCAGTGAGAGTGGACAGAAGGAATGAGAACTACACAAGCTTTTTAGATACAGTCGTCGCACCATGTTGCTCGCTCAATGTCACATCTGTCGCCAATGGCAAGCCTCAGTTGATGCAAGTTCAACAGATCTTCCAGAAGTTCCTCGAGGATCTTTTGATCTGTTGCTTATTTTGTATATACTAAACAGATGTCCTCACTATTGTATGTTTTGAGCCTGTTGTATGGGGTGGGCAGAGGTCAGGTAATGCCATTTTATAGGATATATATATTTATATATGCTGGGGCAAGCGTATTCCACATTCTCAAAGTGGATGGATTAGAGTACTGTGTATATGTGACCACACACTTCTGAATACATCTGTCTTGTATTTATATTGTATATCAAAAAGTGTTTGATGCAGGAGCCAGAAGCGACTGACCTGGAGAAAGTGAGTGTTGCAATAGCTTCCGCTTCCATTGGCGGTCGTCTAGAGAGCAATGGCTTCATTCAGGGCCTTGTGCTATCTTGCTTGCGGCAGTCGGAGAGACAGGAGCAGAACAAAGATTGCCGAGGAAGAATTTCCAAGAATTCTTGCATGGCGACGCCAGGTGCAAAGGATCTCTGCCAGGAGGCAGGCACCACGCTGGCGCTATACACTGGGAATGTGTCCCTGTTGCGCAAGTTTGGCGTGCCAAACAAGAAGAAGAACCGTTGCTGGGAGTCAGATCTTGAGAGAGCAAACCTGCCGCAGCCTTTTGTATCCCTGTCTGATCCTGGCAAGTTAAAGAGCAACGTGACCGTGATTGAGCAACGACTCTCTGAGATGACGCAGAATACGGGGTGTGATTTGGCTTCAAGGTTGAGCAGGTTGTTGTTCTTTTTGTCGGACGGTCTTATTATATTTTCTTATATCTTCTCACGTCTTCTTAACTCTCTTGTTTTGTAATGTTTTATATGCAGTATACTGTTTTCGTTTGGTTGCTGTTCATTCTTTGCCAAACAGTGTCCTGCTCCCAGCGCGAACTGCCATGAATATATAGCCAGGAGCATCCAGGAGCAACGCGACGCCTTTTATGGCCATTGAAGCGGATGTTCACGCGCCTTTTTTGGTCTTCTAGCGCATGTTCGCCAGCCGCTTTGAAACTCATTGGAATGATGTGTGCAATCAGGTCGGGTGTTGTATTGAAATAGGGAGTTGCCCTCCAAGGCCACCCAAGTTTGTTTTGAACCATGGGATTCTAGGGACAGTCTCCGGGTGTTAATACATGTTAGGACACCATCGTTTGGGCTTGGTTTTTTTCCCAGTGAGATGGACAAAGGCTATAAATTGATTTGATACAACCCCCTGAACCACCAATAAAATCACCAGATGAAACTAGTTCCCCCAC